AGACGGGTCTTTTGGCGGGGCCGTGCATTTGCGAGGTGAGGCTGCGGCTCCGGCTCCCGTCGTCCCCTGCGAAGCGGGGACTCCCTCCCATTGCTGGGGGGCCCTCAGAAGGACTTGGGGGGCTCTCGCCCCCTGGAGGGCCCTCTTCCGACCTGCTGGAGTACAGCCTCCATTATCCCCAGGGCAGGCGGGGGGTTCCTCTCACCTTGACCGGGGGGCTGCCGAGGGTACTGCACTACACCTCCCATCGTCCTCGGCAGGCAGAGCTCCATCTGCCTTGGCTGGCAGCCTGTGGAAGGACTGGAAGAGCCTCTCCCTTTCCAGAGGTGCTGGACTACAACTCCCATCCTCCTCAGGGAACGCAGGCGCTCCCTCCCCTTGGCTGGGGGGGCTGCACTTTGGGGAGGGTGCTGGACTACAACTCCCATCATCCCCCAGGCAGTGCAGGATGGGCCCATTCCCTCAGGATGTTCCGTCGTGCAGTAACAGAGGCGCTTTGGCCTCACAACTGCTGAGCTTCAAAGAAATCTTGTGAGATGCAGCTGCTAATGGTGCAAATCCCGCCAGCGTGGAAACAACGAGCGACGCGTTGGCCGGAGGTGTGGCGGTTGCCGTAACGCGCACTTGGCAGGCTGTGATGGAAGGATAGTTGCACCGGGGGTCAGACCAGATGCCCCCAAGTTACTGCGTGTGCCTCACTTGCGCCCGCGGGGTCTCTTGGCCGCCTCTCCATCCCACCAGCCTCTGGGCGGGGAAGGCCTTGGTGAATCCGAGAGGCTCCCCAAGCAGGGGGTACGTGGAACCATTTTCCTGTTCCTCACCCATGGAATTCACTGCTACAAGATGGGGTGATGGCCCCCGGTTTGGGTGCCTTTCACTGAAGGCGTGACTGTCGGGAGCTCTCGGTCTGGGCAGTTTAATGTTGCCTGGCTCCAAATGCCACTTCCAGCAGGACGTAGGGAGGAGATGGGACTTCTCCATCTCCTGTTTGCAAGCACCAGAGGCCCCTGGGAGAAACAAATACTGGGCTGAGGTGGGCCTCAGCCTGACCCTGCAGGGGGACTCTGTTAAATTTGTTTGTTAGTGTTATATTCCACTTTTCATTCAGAATGGCAAGCTGCCATACGCAATATTCCTCCTACCATTTTTCTTTCACAACAGCAACCCTGTGGGGTAGGTTGGGGTGGGAGAGAGAGTGCCTGGACCAAAGTCACCCTGAGAGCTTCTGTGCTTGAGGGTGGATGGAAATCTGGGTGTCCCTGCTCTTAATGCAAGATCTTTAACCACCCCACCCCACTGTAATTATGATTTTAGTCTTTGATTTTCTGATCTGTTATTCTGCTGTACTCTGAAACTGCTGGACAGGGAGCATCTCTGAATGTAATATTCAATTTAACCAGACGATTGAAGTCCTTATGCTCTTTGTTCCAGCGCAAAAGAGAAACCAGAGGAGCATCGGCACGTGCAAGGAGAGAAGGGGGCAATGGCAGAGGCAGTGCAAAAGAAGCTACAGGGGGAGCTAGAGAAATATCAGCAGCTACAGAAAGGTCAGTACCTCCCCCTCCCAGGAGGGGCCCCAGGACTCTCCCCTGAGCCATCTTTCCATTCCTCCCAATTGCTCCTGTAAGGAGGTGTTTGCTCAATACCGTTTTGCAGGATCCTGCTCCTTGGAAGTAGCAGTCATTTTAGAAACACAGTTTTAAAACAGTTTCTCAATTGGGGCCCAGCCAGATGCATTGAACCACAACTCCCATCTTCCCCAGCCAGCAATCCACCAACTGTGCTGTATGAAGGTGATATGAGTTGTAGTCCCACACTTCTGAGGGGCACCAAACATCTACAGAGAGCCTGCTGGAATGGGCCTGCAGTGACTGGTGAGGCTCCCTGGACGCCCTCAAGGACCTCCCTGTCCCCATGCCCTCACTTGCCCTTCAGCACCCACGGCTCAGAGTCCTTCCAGAAGAGGACTGGGCTTTGGAGTATGGTTCCAATCCTTCCTTCAACCTTCTGGGGTGGCTCCCCAAAACCAGCCAGAGTGTCAGAATCCTTGCAATCAATTAGCCAACTTGCTATCTTGCCGTTGTAGATGGGGGGGGGGGCGCCATGCCCGGAAGGAGCTGTTAGAAGCAGATGGGTTGTTATCGGATTCTCAAGACTGCTCAAGGTCATGCCAATGGGCAACAGAGAAAAAGACTTGGAAAGCCGGCAAGGGGGGGGTGCACTTAGAAAGGGGTAAAAGTAACTTTTTGGTGTGCGCGGGGTTAGTCTTAGCAATGCTTTGGACCTGTACACTACTTCTCAATAAATGAATCTGAACCTGTATCAGCCCTTCCTACGTCTTGGAAAGCCGGAGCCTCATTCCAGAGCAGAAGATGGAAGGTGGTGGTGTTGGGACCCCCATAGAGGGGTCTCCTCTGGCTCCCCCAGCTGACTGTGCTGGAAGGGCTCAGGGAAGACACAGATGGTGCTGGTTTCCAGAGGGGCCCCGAGCTCTCTTGTCCTTCTGAGGCCGAGCCTTTCAGCAGTATTTGGGGGCCACGGAGCCCCGGCCCTCTTCCTGATCCCCTCACAGCTCTTCTAAAAGTCTCCTCTCCCCTCTGGACCCAAGGGGGTATGGCTGCCAGAAACAGGCTCAGGGCTCTTGCTGGATGCCAGGAAGCCGAGAAGGACCCAAAGACGGGCTGCCAGCAGAGGGCCCTGACCCCCAGCAGGCAGGTCTCTCACAGTGGGGGGGGGGTGGTTCTCTTCTGTTCCCCCTTGCAGATATCAGCAAATGCATGACAGCCCGTCAGAAGCTGGAGGCTCAGTTGACGGAGAACCACGTGGTGAAGGAGGTGAGGGCGGGGTCTTGTCCTTCCCTTCCCCTCCCCTCCCTCAGCACCCTTTCAGCCATAGCCCATCTCTTCCTCCTCCTCCACCGCTCCAGGAACTGGACCTGCTGGACGCCTCTAACTCCGTATACAAACTCATAGGGCCTGTGCTGGTGAAGCAGGACACGGAGGAGGCCAAAGCAACGGTCGGAAAAAGGCTCGACTATATCACAGGGGAGATGTGAGTCCCTCCAGGAAGAGGTGTGGGTGTGTGTGTGGGTTCCTTTGTGGGGCTCCAGCTCCTGAGGCAGTCTACCTCAGGGAAGAAGGGTAAGCTTCCTGGAACGCCCCCCGGCTTGGCCAGGGGTGGGTAGGGGAATCTGCTTCTTTGGAGGAGGCCAGCGCTGGGCCGGAGCAAACTGGGGCGATGCCGGCTGCAGGGCCCGAAGCAGCCTCTTCCAGTGCCCTCTACCCGAGGGTCCGGTGAGGGTCTGCACAGCCCCTCTGGGGGTTCTCCCCATCGTCGCGTGCCCACCAGCCCGATCCCGTCTTTGCAGCAAACGCTACGAGGCCCAGATGCAGGACTACGAGCGGAAATCGGAGCAGCAGCGGGAGGCGCTGGGGCGGCTGCAGCAGGAGTTCCAGAGGGCCCAGGCCAAGGTGGCCGTCAAGACCTGAAGGGGCTGGGGGTCCCGGAGGGAGGGGTGGGCCAGCTGGCCAGCCCCCCATGCTGCCAGTCAGGCCTTTTGGATCCTCTCGAATAAAGCTCTGCTGGACCCTCTTTGCGCCTCCTTTCTTGCGCTGGGGCTTGGGGGGCAGATGTGCACAGGTTCAGAACACCCAGAGGAAGGTGCCTGGAGGGACATCCGAGGCCCTTTGCTCCTTTTGCCTGGCTGCAGCTTGAGGGCCTAGCTCTGCAGCTCCTACCCCCGGGGGCCTCCCCTTTATTCCCCTGCAACTGAAACAAAGCTACCTACAGAGGCAGCTGCACAGTTGGAAGCCCTTTGCTGGGCCAGAGGAGCCGGGGAGAGCTGGGATGGGGGATTCCCGGCGGGGGGTCCTGGGCCAGGAGGCTTCTTCCAAATGGTGCATCTGGACGGCAGCAGCCGGGACACCATGGCCAGCGGGGGGACGGTCCAGGCTGCCTTTGGGGGCTTTATCTTCCAGTTAAAGCAGGAGAAATCCAGTAGTATTAAAAAGAAAAAAAACGCCTTCGGTCCTCTGCAGCCGGGGCTTGGAGGCGGCTGACCATCGCCGCATCTGGGAGCAACGAATTCCATAGGGATTCGTTTTACAGGGTGGGAAGGAGTGCTGTTCTAAATTTTTTTTTCAGTCAGCTTCACTGGTGTTTGCAGAATTAAAAAACACCACTCAGAGTTCAGGTTCTGTCCCAACGCTCCTTACAAGGACCAGAATGTTACAGAACGTACAGATCAAGCAACTGAAGAATCCTCTTTTTTTAATCAAAGACTTTTGCCTCTTTTAAAATGAGAGCATTTGCTTTTAAAATCTGGTGCCCCCAAAATGAGGATTCCTAGAAATTTTTCTCAGTCAGTAGCAGACCCTGAAGAGAGGTTCCTTTGAAGGAACTAACATCCTTTGGCTTCCTTACAACTCAAAATGTAATCTCAGATATTTGGGATATCTTCGCTATAGAAAACTGGCAATTGGTCCATGATGTATGATTAAAAAGGAAAAAATGACCATTTTAACACATTTCCTATGCAGCCTCTTTCTCTCGAGAGGGAGCTCCATAGAAGAGACGAGATAGTTTACCTGAGTTATGACGGGAATCAGGAGCAAAAGGATTTTGAAGTTAGGGCTGGGGGTGGTGGTTCCCCAGCTGTGTGATCAAGACAGAAGGGTCCAATTTGTACTGTGGAAAAAACAAGGCATTAGCAATTCTCCGGCTGAGAGAGAGCAGGAATCCTGGGGCTCCCACGGCTTCCAAAGATCTCTTTTATTCCAGGTGGGAGAGAAACACCCTTTGCCGATTCCCTTTTCCAGACTTGCCCTGTCATTCCTCCAGATGTTTTCTTGGCACCTGCAGTTGCACCCCAAGGCTGCAGTTTGCTCACGGATGTTTGCAATTGGTACACTCACAGGCTCAAACGATCAAAAAGTGTATGACAATCCTGGCCCGATTCTGCATTTCAAGCAGCCAAATCTCTGGAATGTGAGGGGCTCCTGAAATCCTTCCTTGTCTGGCTGCCAAACCGTCCCTGTTTCTAGAAACTGTCTGAACATGTCCTTCCACGCTGTGTTGAGCTCCCATGTAACGTCTGCCCTCTTCCTCTTCAACAGCCTCACCCACAGCTGGCCAGTAAAACAGCTGCTTGGAGCCTCAGCAATTCAGGGGGATGGGGGTGGCTCTGGGCTGAGATTCTCCTGCCTCCACAGTCATGCGGGTCAGAAGGGACCGGTGGCCAACAGGAGAAGCAAGGCCAGCACGGGGCGACACACCTGGGAAGATGATGCCTGGAGGGAGCCCCCTGTGGATTTGCGAGGCTCTCCGGGAGACCCAGCCGTGCCCCCTGCCCACATCTGGGGTTTCCCTTACCAGCTCTCCTGTGGCCCTGATCCCAACTCAAGGCCCCCCCCTTGGTCCCCCAAAGGAATCTTCTTCCTCCTGCCTTCCCCAGACAGCTACCTCAGGAATAAATGAAGGAATCTATGATGTATGTTCATGTCCAAAACTCTTTCCCTCCCCTTAATTAAATGGAATTAAGTCTTGGGATTAAATTCAGCGGCTAGAATTAATATAGGTTTGGGGTATAAATCTATGATGTATTCTTGTTTTCCCATGTTCTAAATTCTCATCCTCCCCTAAAATAGAAGCCAGATTCCAAAAGTGCTTGCTTCTGCACCATTTATTCCACTCCCCAGGCTGGAAAACTGCCCCCAGACTCTTTCTGATCAGTCAGGAGAGGAGACCCAATTGCTCTCCGTGTCTTAAGACAGTCCTCTATACCTTGTGAAGTCCTTCTACAGCCCTCAGAGATCACACACACCGAGCACGTTGCAGGGATTGGGCAGGGATGAGTCCCTGCCAAAAACATCCTCTGTTCTCTGGCTGTTTCCCACAAATCACGATTTCGGGCACAACCTTTTGTGTAAGTCCGCAAAAACCAATTTCAGCTGGAGATGCCTATGAATCACTGAAAAGGGAAGTCTGAAGTCCAGCAGCACCCGGGTGGCCTTACCGTTCTGCAGAGCTACATCTGAAATACCAGAACCTAAAAATTACAGGCGAACAGCAGCGTTGGGCACACAGTGCCTAATTCTGCCAAGGCACACAGATTCTTGCTCCAAAGCCAGCAGCCTTTCCACCAAGCTGTATGTCTGAACGCTGCAGGGACTCGGCTCTGGAGCTTCCAGGCAGCCGGACTCTCATTTGGGGGTGTGTGTGTCTGGGAGCGTTTGGGCTCCCACGACCCTCCCTCCCATTTGGAACAGGCAGGACGAGCAGATGGCCCAGGCCTCCGTATGCAGCGGCTGAGACCGTCTTACAATGAACCAAGATGGCAAGTTACCAAGCACATTGCTTAGCTGGGAGCCAGACTTGCTGGTAACAAAACCCAGCCTGGAGCCTCAGCAGTAACTCTCCCCCAACCCAGGTTTTTCTGCCCCTTCCTTTCTGCAAACTCTACACCCCCCTTTCCACTGTGTGACACTCGCCCAGCATCAGGCTGCAGATGATTCCTACGTTGCGCTATTAAACCACGTTAACCCTCCCTCTCTGTGCAGGGCAAAACCGTGCCATGTTCCCAATGCAACCCCCTCCCATCAGGTCGTGTCTAGGATCGGTTCCTTAGCTTAAGCCAGTGTTGGCTGGCTGGGGAATTCTGGGAGCTGAAGTCCACACAGTGTAAAGCCGCTGCGGTTGAGCAACGCTGTTTTAGGCTATTCGGGAGCTTGGGCGCTGACTCAACCTTTGCACTGCGGTCGAGCTCCACGGTCTGTGCACAGAACAAATGCTCTTCCACGCCTGGATGGCCGCACAGGCCTCTCCCCATCCTGACTCTTTGCATCCCCTCTGCAAAACTTCAAATGCTTCAGCCGCCACCTCGAGCTCTCCAAAGCGTTAATGCCGACCCTGAAGCCGCTTCTCTACATTGTGAACGGGAAGATTATTCATTCTTTGCGTTCCTAGGCAGGGGTGCCAGTGCGAAGCAGTGTCAAAATCTGTGAGGTGCCGGCCAGGGTGCCATGGCTGAAGCTCCACCCCCTTTGCACATCCATGTACAAAGTGGGCGGGGCTTCAATTGCGATTTTTAACAACATGCCCCCCCCCCCCCCCAAAAAACACTTCTCCTCCTATAACTGCTCTGGGTCTGTCTCATTCCTGACAGAGGTGAAGACAGCCACCCTCCTCCTTCACGAGTCTGGAATCTGAGAATCCAGATGCTGGAAGGGTTCCTAGAGGGCATCCGGCCCAGCCCCTGCTCAGTGCCGGGTCGACTGGCACCTTCAGCAGGTGACCCTCCATGGAAGCAGAATTCACCCGTACGTCGCGGGCTGTTCCACGGGCTGACACCTTGCACAGTCAGGAAGTCCCGGTCCACATGTCAACACGGCCGCAGTATTTTGGGGGTAAATTCAGAGAGCGGAAAGCAGGAAGAGACCCGGAGCTAGAGAGGCCACGATCCCATAGTTCTCCAGCATGACTTCCTTGTAGAGCGACTTCTGGCCTGGGTCCAGCAGGGCCCACTCCTCCTCCGTGAAGTACACGGCCACCTCTTCAAAGGCGACGGGAGCCTGGCAGAGGAAGAAGGGGAGGTTTCTTCAGGGATGCAGAAACGGAGACTTTTGCTCACCGCCTGAGATGGATGTCCCCAAAGGACGTTCCGTATATACTCGCCGATAAGCCAATCTTTGCATTTTTAACCAAAACACCATGGAAAATTTTTCACGGTATTTTAGCTAAAAATTCGAGGGTTGGCTTATCTGCGGATGGGTTTATGCGTGAGTCTATATGGGAAATAAAGATACTTTTAAAAATTATTGCCACGTATACTTACGGACAAGCTGGACCCAATTTTGGGGGCGCACTTTGGCATTTAAATTCTTAGCTTATCTGCAAGTATATACGGTACCAAGAACGTCCCCCTCATCCATTTAAAGAAGGAACAGGCCAATCCCCACATCCAGGGACAACTTCTGTGCCCTGCTCAGAAAGAGTGGGCCCTGGGAGCACATGCCCGTGGCATACCTGTAGGGCCCCCAAAGCTCCACGGGAGACTCTCACGGACACAAAAAGGCCACGCTGGGGGATTCTTGGGGCTATGGGGCTATATACGGGGCAGTCAAATGCTGGCTGCGGGATGGACTGTTTGAAGGGGGACTGGTGACTTCTTACGCCTCCAAACTAACCCCCCACATCATGGCTTTGGGATCCATTCTGCTAAAAAGATAAATCTTTCTTTGGGCCACACTTGACTTCTGCTGACATTAGGGTCACATCCACCTAATTTTTATGGCAACGGCACAGATTGGTTCACCGTTCCTTCCTTCTGGGATTTATGCAGACCTCCTCATCCAGCCTCCCTGTCTGGGATTTCCCCGTGGTCCCCCATCCACACACTAACCAGGCCCATCCCCTCACTGGGTGACTTCAGGTTATTCCCTCAGTCTCAGTCTCAAATGAATCTACCTTACAGGGTTGTTGGGGAAAAACAGAAGGGAATGCTATATCACTGCATTCCTGAATGGAAGGCAAGACAAATTGGAGGAGCCAGGCCAGAGCCCGACCTAGACTTTGCCAGTCCTCTCACTTGGGGATGGGGAGCCACAAAAGGTGGGCAACTTCTGGCTGAAACGCGATTGCACAGGTCAGTCCTGGAAGCAAATGAGCCTCATCCAGCAACCAGAGTTTTCATCTACCTGTCAGCCCTTCCAGGTAGGCCAGGTCGGGAAACTAACCCTGCAGGGATTCCAGGAAGGCTCCTTGATTCTTCCTGGGTGGAACAAGAGGATCTTGAAAGCCTGACCGAGGTCCCCTTTTATGCTAGGAAGGCCTCAATTTCTGGACTGGGGGTCTCTTCTCTGAGGCCCCCTCAATGCCTGGCCCTTCCCCCCCTTACGGGCCCTTCACCCCTTCCCCATGTCTGTGCCCCTCTACAGCTCCCAGGTAAAAAAAGGACTGGGGGGTCGGGGGAGAGCGGCAGGAGGGGGGCTTTAGAGACCACCCGCTCACACCCCCGCCTGCTGCAGGATCCACTACGGAATCAGCTGGAAGATCTCTGGCGGAGACCCACCTCCCCAGGCGGCGGCAGCTTATACAGCCAGGCAGTTCCCCCTGGTCTCCAGCTTGGACCCCCCACCTTCTGGTCCTGCCCTCAGGGGCGATGGACAATAAGTCCACCCCCACCTCCATATTAACCCTTCAGGTATGAACTACACTGGGGGCTGAAGGCACCCTTGGGCTGGATGATCCAGAATTCCGCCTGTGGTTGGAAATGGTCACCCTCCTTGGCATGGGGCAAAAGACACGGAATGTGTGCGCTCCCCCTGTTCCCCACTGACCTTTGCCTTCTTAGATGGAGGCTCCAGGCCCACATTTGCAGTCACGCTGCCTGCCAGGGGTCCCCTGCCAGACGACTGAGGCCCAGAGGCAGGGCACTCTGCCCCCACCTTCTGGGGGGGAGCCTCTTCCGAAGCGCAGGGGCAGGGGCAGGGGGTGGGTGGCGGTCCTGCTCCGATGGTCTCCCGAGAGGGCTGGGAGCAGCGGGAAGAGGTCCTGGCTGGCACAACGACAGCCTCCTCTGGAAGCCGCAGTGCCGACGTTGGCACCGCCGGGGTGCCGGACGTGGGCGAAGGGGACCTCTCCACAGGCACCCGAGAAGCACTCCCAGCAGATGCCGGGCTGGAGCTGCAGGCAGGCCCCGGGGCCTTCTTCATGTCCTCCCCGTCTCCTAGCGCCCCGTCCTCGAGGGGGCACACACTCAGCTCACCCCGAGTCAGATCGACAATCGCCGGCTGGCACGCAGAAGCCCCTGCAGCCGCTTCGGCCAGTGCAGGCTTCTTCCCCGGCCATGGGTGACGGCGGCACCGCAGCCTGGCGGAGCGGGACCATGCAACGGCACGGAGCGCTGCAACGGCAGACCGCAAGAGCTCGTTGTTCGCCCGCAGGGCCTCCTGAAGCGCAGCTCGCTCCTCTCCAGCAGCCGCGCACTCCTGCTCCACAGCCTGTGCCACGCGCTGGGCCGCCTCGCATTCCCTCTCGCGCGCCTTCTGTGCTGCCTGCAGCGCTCGCCGGTTGAGCTCCCGGTCACGCCTGGCCTCTTCGCGGTCTTCCTTCGCCTCGTGGAGCACGGCCTCCATCAGCGTCTCCATCCGCTCCAGCTTCTTCCGCCGAGTCCTCATCAGGGCCAGGCGGGACGCAGGGGACAGCCCCGAGGCTTGGTCAGCGACTGCAGGACCCGGAGGGCCGGAGGAGCGAGCCGCGGGGGAAGAGAGAAAAGGCTGTCAGCCTGGGGGCAGCTGTTTGTGCGCGCGCCAAAGCAGCGAAGGGGGAGGCATTTGTGGCAGCAGACAGCGTTCTCTGACGAGATACAGAGGTTCAGAAAAAAACTGAAACGTCTGGAAAAATTGGGGGGGGTAAAAAAAAATGCTACTGAAATATAACAGAACCTCCATTTATTATAGCGTTTGGGGAAGAAGACATTAAATCCAAAGTCCATTAAATCCAAATGTACGCACTTAACAAATGTCAGGTCTGCCTTCATCTCCATTAAATGGACATTACATTATTGAATCCAAATTTTGTCTGGACAGTTGCTGTCATTTACAGTGATTACAGCAATTCAGAGAAAATTCTGATTCACTGGACTTGTCCGTTAAATGAGGATGAAGCCTGGACTCCATGGCATGCAAAGTTTGCTAAATGGAGGCCCACAAAATCAACCTTTTCCTGTATTTTCTTTTTGAAGATGCAAAAAGAAAAGGTGCTCCTCTATGCTTATTTCCCCAAAATGTTCTCCATTCCCGGAAGGTGCGCATCTCCCCCTCCAAAGAAAACCCAGAGCTGCCCAGAACGTGCAAAATGCCCGAAGGAGTAAAGGGGTACCAAGCCCACAACACGCACCCACGGCTGGGCTCCCCTCAGGATCTGGTGCGGGAGGCTCGGCCGCAACCCATCTCTCCTCCACCAGCCCCCCTCCGGACGAGCCGCCTGCAGGAGAGAGCGAGCCATTAGCCGGAGTGGCCGCCAACGCCCTCACCCCCGAGAAAGCAGGTGTGTGGGGCGGTGCGGGGCATTGCGTCCGTGCGTTCTCAGCCTGGATGTCAACGCACAGCACACTTGAGGGAGCCCATCTTCCGGGAGCTGCACGGACTACCCCGGGCGCCTTCTGCGGGTCCCTCCCTCCGCCAAGGAGACGGGACGGGACGCAGACTCACTGCCGCTCGGTTCGGCCGCCGCTCCCGTCCTGCTGTCAGTGCCCCTGGGCGGGCGGCTGCCGTCGGTCTCTGGAAAACAGAGCGGGGAAGCGGGTGGGGCGTTAATAGTCTGGTTCCTGTCCAGGCAGTGTGGGGGGGCAGCTCTGCCTCTCAACTGCCCCAGACCCTCCCCCAGTGAGGGAGGGATGCCTCCGGGCACTGCCACCCTCCCGGTGGCAAAAGCCTGCCAACAGCACTGATGGTGGCCAGGTGCAGCGGCATTGAGGAAGCCCCCTGGATGTCGAGGAGCGTCTGTTTCCGTTTCTCCTTCGTGTTAAGGCACGGAAGGTTAGAGTTCGCGCTGGGTCCTCGCAATGTTGAGCTGACTTGTTTTTCACTCTTGCATGGGAGCGGGAGAAGGGAGGACGTTTCCCACAGCTGGGGGGGACCTGAGATTGCTTCTGTTAGCGCTGGCTGGTCGGCACAGCCCCCAGGCTCCGGCTCACCCGATGAGCAGGGGCACTGCCCAGCCAAGGTCTGCAGCCTCGGCACTACGGAAACAGGCGATGAGGCTGTAGGGCCAGACCCTGAGAAAGCATTCAGATGCCCCCGAGCTCGGAGCGTGGGCACGGGCCTGGCCCAGGAGCCGTGGCACCTGATCACTGCCTTGACACTTGGCAAAACACGAGGGGGAGGGGGAGGGAGAACGAGCACACCTGTGTAAGGCAATGGCCTCCTTCCCCCCACCTCACTGTTTCTTAAAGCTCAGCCCCAGGCAGAAGCTGGTGAAGGGACACTTGGGGTGAGATGCCCCACAGGAACCCCTGGAGACATGGGAAAGGTTAAGGGGTGCACTGCAGGAGAGATTCTTGGGGTAGTAAGAATATGAACCTCCCAAAGATTTGGATTTCATTTCAGTGCCTGACCACTCAACCTACTACAACACACTCTACACAAGCCAGGAAAAGGATCACACTGCCATACATCAGAGACATCTCAGAAACCACCAACAGACTATTACAACCACACGGCATCTCTGCAGCACACAAACCAACAAAATCAGTCCAAAATATCTTAAGCAGACCAAAAGACCCAGTAGCCCAAGAAGGAAAAACAGGAGTCATCTACAACATACAGTGCAAGGACCGTAACGGCCACTATGCAGGACAGACAGGCAGAAGGCTGGCAGAGCGCATCCATGAG